CATGCCACCGCACTCCAACCTGGGAGACAGAGCAAGACATTGTCTATAAAATAAAAATTTTAAAAAGAAATAAAAACAGAAGAGCAACCATAGGTCAAATACTATGGTGACAGATTTAGTAGACAAAAAACCCCAAAACAACTTATTGGTGAAGTTTTACACAACTATGCATGTAAAACATAAATTTGAACTTGAGATTGCTAACAGCCATCGTAAAGAATAAAATATGATCAGCTTACAAATGGAATTTTAAAGTAACTATTTTAATTACATAATTTTTAAATTAAATTTAAATTGTGTTCTATAAAACATGCCATAAATCAAAGTAAACATGAGCTCAGTAGTTAGAAAATTTGATTAAAATGTTTATTCTTTAATCTTTTGTGTTAGTCATATCCCCAAGTGATACTTTGGGGAAACTTTGTTAAACAGTGTTAACCCTTCCTGAACATGCTATTCACCTAATCAGACAAGGGATAGTTCAGACTACAAAGGGAAAGGAGTTATGTACTTGTGTTTGTGCTTTTCCCTTTTTAAACATTTTTAGGTTGAGTTCTACTGATTTTGTTTTAAAATCTAAGTTCCTATTTTCTCCATAAATGTAAACTCACCAAGAAATATAAAATTCTATATGGTAAAGAAATGGAAAGGAAAGGCAGCTTGTACCCCAAATAGACAATATTAACCATACAGCATATTTTACCTTTTAAGTAGACAAGACTTCATGCCTTTTCCAATAAGCATGAACATAAATTCATAGTCAAATTATATAAAGTATGTACATCTATTGATCAAAAGCCAACAATTTTCTCTGGCTAATATTTAAATCTAAGCAAAAATAATGGATTTTGACTTTTTTCTATAAAGTTTGCCTTGTCCTTTCTTCTACGCCAGGGTCTGTGATGAAGTCTATACCTGAACAGAGAAAATTTAAGGATCCTTTGTTCAGTATCTAGATAACTCAGCATAAAATCCTATATTTCCAATTTTTCTGAGGCTGTCACCTTTCTGCAGGTTGGCAGGTTACTTGCACACAGTTTATTTCAGCTGTCTGGCCCTCTTGCAGCCTGGACTACCACATGTCACCAATTTCTCATGTCCATAATCCAAATTGCGTTGGCATAGCTCAGTGGTTCTCCACCATTGTTGTACATACCAAAGCTTGGGCTTCGCTTCCTGACTAATTTAATACAAATATCTGAGAAGCGGGCAGATAAGCACGGTGAGCAAAGTGCTGAATCTTTCCTCAAGCTCAAGAGGCAAATATGAGGCCAGACCAGGAGGGAAAAAAAAGTCCCATCCAGGAATCCACGAACATTCTTTCAAGGTAGCCTGTGAAGTCTGAGGCTCATTTTTCTTGTCACTAGCTGAGTGGCACATGAGTGAGAAGGCCTGGCAAAAGGCATAAGTAGAGAAAACAGGGCTAGAAAGTGGGCATGAGGTGTATGCAGTGTTTTCGGTTTCCCATCTACACTATTATAGCTGTGACTTACCCCCCTTTTTTTCAAAACAGATGCTCCAGGACTGTTTTCAAAGGAGCTATTTCTCTCTAGGCATAAATACTCAAGAGATGTAAAGGCCACAGCTGGTTAGAATTTAAGATATTGTGAAAAAAATAAACGAATCTCAAGCCAAATGTAAGATCTATTCTAATTCCAATCTATTTTTGTGAAGTTATTTGCACATAGAAAGAACTTATTAGATATTATCCGATTGAGGTTTACAAAGAAATAACCTACCTTATGAAATCACAGTTAATTTGAAAATATCTTTTTGCAAAGAGCATGGAGTTGATGGAAAGCACCCAGGACCATAATGAACAAGGCAGGTCTGGGAAGGAGGTCAGCAGTTTGGCCTATCCGGAATGGAAAGAACAGGTGTGGGGGAAGAGAAAGGACCTGAGACCGCGTGAGTTAGCACACACAGCACACAAGGGGAGAGCTCCTTATTAGAAAACCTGCCTGGGAGTCATCAGACAGTTGTCTCATCACCAACTCAGACTCCTTCTGGCCAAAGCAGAACCATAAAATTCTTCTTCCGTCTCCCCAAATCCCTTGCCATTTAACACAGCTGAGACTTGTGTATTCTATTGCCTCTAGTCAGAACATCTTCACTCTCTGCATCCTAAAAAATAAGCTATACTGTTCTTTAAGAGTGATCTCAGATGTTACCTTGCCTTGGAAGCCCTCTCTGGTTTCTCTGTCCACTGCCTCAACCACCCAAAAGTGCCTTTCCTTCACAACCCAAGCCCTCTGGACACACATTTTTAGTGCATATATCACAGTAATTGTTTATAAGTCTGTTTTTCCCAGTAGACCATGACCTACTCGAAGGTAAAAAGAATATTTTATGTACTAGCTGCTTGGTACACAGTAGGAGGTTAACAATTATGTGCTAAAAGAATGAACAGACACAGAATTGAAATTCCAAATAATGACATTGCATGGCAATCCTTGCTAAAATGTGTCAATAAGAAAAGCTTTGGAGCAGAGGAGGAATTAAGAGAGCAGATAGCATTACAGGGCTTCTCTCCTCTCATCTTTACTACCCAAGTATAAGTCTAAAGTAAGGTGTTTGTAGGAGGCTGAAGGCTAAGATCCTCTGGAGAATGAGAAGGGAAGATAGGCTTCAGGAAGTAGGGCTATTCAAGAGGCATTATGGGTTGAAAGTGCTGGGGTTAGGGAGGGTAGGAAGAGAAAACCTTCACCTTAGAAAGCATGTTTTCATTCTGAAAAGTATAGGCATAGGCAAGACAATGACTATTCAGAGTAATCTCTGTCCTCTAGGTCAGGGAGAGAGGCAAACGGGGCACCCTTTGTGCAGCCTGCTGAACCAGGTGGAGGAGAAAACTAGAATTCAGGCAAGCATTCTACTCTGGATAAAAGAATTTGCATTTGGCTGCTACCCATCGTTGTCGCACTCAGGAACTTGGGTGTAACACAAGGGTGAAAACACAAATGGTGACGGAGGCCAGGTGTGCCTGATGACTGTGCGAAGCTGGGCAGTGTGGAGTGAGGGATAGGAGAGGCACATCCTGCACCCGGGGCACCCCCAAACTCCTGCCCACAGCTGCTACTCAGCCTCAGATGATTGTCTCTTTGCAGGGCCCACGATTGCTAGACCTTTCAAATTTTTATGAAAAAAAGTCCCAATTTAATATTGAATTTCTAAATTTTGAAAGATAAAAAAGTAAACAAATTATTTTTATTCACATTGGAGCCTACCTTGTGTGAGCCAAACAATACATTCCTAAAGGTTGAATCTGGCTTCAAGGTCATTAATTTGCAACTACGAATAATTTGGAAGGAGAAATGGGTACTCAAGGAATCCTCAGTGGGTCTGAGTGTAAAAGGCACTCAATACATTCCACAGCTTCACCTTCATCTCATTGTTTCCTGGCCTTAGACACGTTTTTGATACCCTCGTGGTCCTATCTACTCAAAATAGATCCTTCCATTGACATCATCTGGAAGGAAGAGCATCTGAATGAACCTCTTAAAAAAGAGAATCAGGCCGGGTGCGGTGGCTCATCCCTGTAATCCTAGCACTCTGGGAGGCCGAGGCGAGTGGATTGCTCAAGGTGAGGGGTTCAAAACCACCCTGAGCAAGAGCGAGACCCCGTCTCTACTATAAATAGAAAGAAATGAATTGGCCAACTAATATATATAGAAAAATTAGCCGGCATGGTGGTGCATGCCTGTAGTCCCAGCTACTTGGAGGCTGAGGCAGTAGGATTGCTTGAGCCCAGGAGTTTGAGGTTGCTGTGAGCTAGGCTGATGCCACAGCACTCACTCTAGCCTGGGCAACAAAGTGAGACTCTGTCTCAAAAAAAAAAAAAAAAAAAAAAAAAAATTAGAGAATCAACAAGTTCACCATATAGGAAATTTAGCTCAGGGCTATTTTTCAATGTCAGTGAATAAGACAAAAGTGAAGAAACATTAACATTTGGTGTATTCCGTTGGTGTTTGCAGAACAGAGGCATGTTTTCTGAGCTTCCGTAAAACAAAAAGTATAGATCTGCCCACCAGCTACTGCAGAGAATTAATAATCAAGCAGAAGTATATTTTTCTAAAAAAGATGGTTTTATAAAATTTCATTTCAAAGGTGTGGTACCAGAGTGGCACTGAGCTAGATTTCCACCAGGTGATTTTTCAACCTAGAAATAAATTAGGACAGAACATTACATTGTTAGGTGGTCCATGTGGCTGTTAGTGCAGAGGATGAATGAAGGGGGAAAAACACCCAGCATAGTTAGAGTGATCCTATGCATGGTCCAGAGCAGAGTTGAAAAACAAACTTAACAGGTCACGTACAGGTTTAAATCGATGTTTTTGGCTGAAATCATTTCTTAACATAATTTTTTATGAGTCTCAGAAGAATGCAGTCGAAATGGTTTGAAATCAATTTTAACTCATTTTCCATTCATAAAATATGAGAAGAGGGAGCCAATTTTACTGGTTCACTGGAGAAACAGTAAGGGTTTCCATAGTAGAGAAAGAAGTTGATTTCAACTCAGACAGATATTTCAAGCTTCAAGGGCTGTGTCTAGACAGAGAAGGATTCGCTACCCCCGAAGTCCTATCAAGCAAGGAGTGTAAATCTATTTCAGGGTCCTGGAGTTCCTGCAGAACTTGGACTATCAGCAACTACAAGACCAGCTGCTTCTGGACCCCTTGTATATGATTTCAGCCTTCCAGACTGAGGAATGTTTCATCAGCACACTTAAAAGTGAATCCTCCAAGGGGAGAAAACTCTGCATCAGCGAGGACTGATGGCTATTGTGAGTGTGTGAATGTGTGCATATGTGTGTGTGTCTCCCTTTGAGACAGAGAGAGAGAGAGAGAGAATGTTCTCATTAGGGGACGATCTATGATTTGACAGCCTCGCTGCTGCCGCTCCTGCTGCTGCGGCGGCTGTATGGGCTGTCATTAGTTGAAAGGGCTGCGAGGGTTTGAAGGAACTGCAGTTCTGAGGACTGAGCACTGCTGAGTGGTCTCCCTATCAAACAGAGTAGACGAGATTTTCTGCAGAATTGGAAACTTGAACCTATTACCACTTCATCTACCCAGAAAAGCAGGCAGCACTACAGAGGATAAGGTAAGAGAAGAAATATTGCTCTCTATTCATAACGTAGGGCAGAGGGCAGGGGAAAATCTAGGCTCAAAGGCTTGCTATTTTATACCAAAGAGATCTCACCCTCTTGAGAGCAGAGGAGGCAACAGCTAAATTCCCACCCACCTTGATCACCGAGCCTCTTGGCTTTTTCACTCTGGTACCTTTTTCTTTTTTATTATACTTTTCTTAAGCATCTGAGATGTTTCTTAGTATTTATTTTTCTGTAAGCAGACATTGTTTAGTTTTTTTTTTTAATTGGGCACTGTTTCAAAACAGGGAGCTTTTACTATTTCTCTTAAGCATTTTTCTTTATTAAGAGAGAACTGGTCTCTCTTAATGTGAGCTGGTCAAAACAGCTACTATGTCGTACTCCATCCCACACTACAACTGCAATAAAAGAAGTTTTCAGAAGTACATATGAGCCCTATTCCTGTAGGAAAAAGTGGGAGATGAAAGGAGAGGAAGTGAGAGTTTCCTGTGACTGTGGCTTGCTAAGAAATGGTGACGCTGTGAATGAATGTGTTCTATAACTCTTCTCAGGGGGATAGAACCACTGCGATAAAAGTGGGCACTGGACAGAAGATGTTTTGAGAAGTGTATGTCTGAGAGAAGCTTTTAAGCCGGTAAAGATGGAAAACGAGACCATCAGTGAATTGAACCAAACACAGCTTCAGCCACGAGCAGTGGTGGCTCTAGAATACCAGGTGGTCACCATCTTACTTGTGCTCGTAATCTGTGGTCTGGGCATCGTGGGCAACATCATGGTAGTCCTGGTGGTCATGAGAACCAAGCACATGAGGACACCCACAAACTGCTACCTGGTGAGTCTGGCAGTAGCTGATCTCATGGTCCTGGTGGCTGCAGGCCTTCCCAACATCACGGACAGTATCTATGGTTCCTGGGTCTACGGCTATGTTGGATGCCTGTGCATTACTTACCTCCAGTACTTGGGAATTAATGCATCTTCTTGTTCAATAACAGCCTTCACCATTGAGAGGTACATAGCAATCTGTCACCCCATCAAAGCTCAGTTTCTCTGCACATTTTCCAGAGCCAAAAAGATCATCATCTTTGTCTGGGGTTTTACATCCATTTACTGTATGCTCTGGTTCTTTTTGCTGGATCTCAATATTAGCACCTACAAAGATGCTATCGTGGTGTCCTGTGGCTACAAGATCTCCAGGAATTACTATTCACCGATTTACCTAATGGACTTTGGTGTCTTTTATGTTGTACCAATGATCCTGGCCACTGTCCTCTATGGATTCATAGCTCGAATCCTCTTCTTAAATCCCATTCCTTCAGATCCTAAAGAAAACTCTAAGACATGGAAAAATGAGTCAACCCATCAGAACAAGAATTTGAATTTAAATACTTCTAATAGATGTTTCAACAGCACAGTATCTTCAAGGAAGCAGGTAAGTAAAACTGAACCTCCCAGTCAATAGAGGAAATGTGAGACAGAGTTCCTTGTAAGATGGGATCAACTTTGCCCTATTTAGATGACGCTGAAATCAAAATACAATCACGCAAATGTTTCACAGTGTAGGCTTCTGTTTTACATATTAAATCTATCTCTAAAGCAACTGAAAATCTAAAAATAGATGGGGAAAATTTGATAGCACATCAGCAGGTGTCAGTTCAAGTGCTATGAAGATATAAGGAAATATAAACAGAAACTCCAGAAATCCACCTTTAAAATGTTTGTGTCTCTCTGAAAATGTTATCAGAATATTTGGACTATTTCTGGCTTCCATAGGGAAGAATTCTGCTGCATGACAAAGAATTACCTTTAAAAATTCTATTGCACAACAACGATTTGACAAGATAGTTTGAGAATAGATAAGTAAAACAATGCAACTTTTCTTTACATTCTATAGTTTCTCACAACTCAGACATAACTGAGAGAGGTTCTGTACTTATTTTTGTTAGTCTTAGTGGGAAAGATTCTATCCTCCTCTCTTCCAGCTCCCTACACAGTGTCCCAGCAGGCAAAATCTGAAAACACACTCTGCTCAGGAAATAAAAGGGTCCCCATCGAGCACAATTTGTTATAAAGAATATTTGAATTGAAATTTTCTTAGTCTGATTTTCCTAAGCATAACTAAAAATTTCTTTATGCTTTAGATCACCTGAATGCCCACGTGGTTACAGTTGAATAGTGGTTTTACTAGTGAATGAAGTGCAACTTTGCTATAGTAGATATGATTTATAATCAATATAGGAATACAATGCTTTTATATCATGTGCACATTTCTCTATATTTACATAATTTTTCTAAGTTACTTACAGGCTTAGATTTCAGTTTCTTTTCTTTTTTCATTAAACATAATAAATAGACAGTAAATATTTATTCTCATAGTTGAAAAAGAAAACTTGAAACCAACAATACTGGTTCTTTCAAATGGGTTGAATTGTCTCATATGTTTTTTCTGCAGGTGATATAGTTCTTTCTGTGTGCACAGGTAGAAACTGAGTGTACTTTTCTAAAAGTATACATATGGATCATCCACACTATTACTTCCTAAATTGTAAATGAGTTGATGTATGATGAATTCTAATTGGATATATGAGCACAAGGTGAAATAAACTACTAAAAAATGTAGCTGTTTTAGATATGCATGAAATTAATAATGAACTGTAACTAAAATAACATATATACAACATTTTAAATGATACTGTAATGCTTGATTTATATAACATCTAATATTTAAAAATATTTGGATGATAGAAGGAAAAACCTAAGCAACTAGTGCCAGCTCTTAGATTTCTTTTGATTTGAATCTAGCAGTGCTAACTAATACAAGGCATATTTGGCCATCTATTTACCCAAAAGTTGATTAATGGAAATTTAGAGAGATCTGTTGACTATCTGCCAAGACAAACATTAACAAATACAATAAGAGAGTAAAGAATATGTACATCTCAATTAGAGACCAAACACAGGTTAATGTCTGCATCAAGGAAGGGCAGTGAGTAAATTCATTCATTAGACTCCAATTTATATTCTTGTTATATATTCTAAAAAATTGTTTGTCTGGTCTAATGTCTTTTCTTTCCATTATAGCCATTAGTACCTATCAGCATTAATAATATGCTTTAAATTACTAATTTTGGTACATGTTCACACTCTCGTTTCAAAGCTGTTACAGATAAGCTATATTTACAGAGGCTGTGTGATGGAAGAGAAAGCCAAAGATTTGGTTCTGAACAACCCTGGGCTTGAATGCCAGGGTTCCAATCAAGCTCTATGACCTTGAATATGCAGAACTCTGTGAACCTTAGTTTTTTTCCTCCATAAACAAAATAAATAGCAACCTCCAGGATCAGAGGGAGGGCTCAATGGAACATCTTATGAAAGATACCCAAAGTGGAGTGGTGATTAACACCTAAGTGTTAATTAGGCTCCTTCCTAGTTTTTTAATATGTTGGCCACTATAAGGGAAGTACAGGTTTGTTCCTAAAATTATACACTCACAGCTTAAACAAAGATTATTTGTTGAACAAATGTGTATATTGTATAGCAACTTCTTTAAAGAACTTTTTAATATTTCGGGCATTTGGAGTTGTCACATTAACATTATTGTCAGTCAGCACCCAGGAATGAGGGATGCCAAATGTCCTTCAATGGGCAAGACAGTTCCGTACGATGAAGAAGTGCACCTGCTATCAAATACCAAAATGACCTCCTTGAGAAACGTGGGATGACATATAAATCAATAGGAGTGCACTTAAGTAATGTTTCTTGTAATTCAGTCCTGATTATAGATTGGATGGGAGTTCGGAGAAAAGAAGGAAAATTATGGGGCTACAGGGAACAAAGAAGTCTTCATGGAAGAGGTGTCATTTGAGACAGCTTTGGAAAGATGAGGCTAACTTGGAAAGTAAATGTCAAGAGGGATAGCATTCCACGTAACATAAAAAAAATCGGGACATGGTGTGGGTCTGGAGACAGGCAAGGAGGGGTGCATAGGGTGGCACACTTATGGGATACTGCGACTTGGTTGCTTAAAATGAATGATGTATTTGGGAGAGTTGTAAAAAGTAAGATTAGACTGACAGAAGTGTGCATGTAAGGCAGGGAATGTGAGGAGGGAGAGAGAGAGAGAGAGAGAGAGAGAGAGAGAGAGAGAGAGAGAGAGAAAGTGTCGAGTATCCGGATGAGTAGGCAGAGAAAAGAGTTTGAACTTAATGCAGAGGCAACAAAGAATGTGAGCGGCGAGCAGGGAGCAGCAATGTTGAAAGTGGTATTTGGGGTTGAGAAATCTGACAGCTGTAGGGGAGGCAGATTTGAAGGGTGAGAGGCTGGTGGCAGCAAAACCACTTTGGAAGGTGTTGGTAGTAATACAAGCATGAGGTAGTAGGAGTCTCTAACAGGAGAATTTAAAGTAAGGTGTAAACCAGAGAGATGTTTCAAAGAAAGAAAGGGTGCAATGTGAACATATTACACATGAAGGATGAAGGGAGGACAATTCGATATGGCACTGGATTCCAAGTCTGGAAGAACAGTGGTGCCCTGATGAATGGGAATGAGAGTGGTGAAGCACAGCCAGTTTTGTCCAAAATTAGTGACCTTTAATCTGGCTTTATCTGCTTCTAAAATAAAGGTTCAAATCTCCACCTTCTATAACCCAAGGACTGTTATTTTAATATTTTCTGTGCATTTTTTTCTTTTAGGCAAGTTTAATTTACATTTTAATAAATACTAATCTGGGTCAGGTCTTTCTAACCAAGTCATATTAAAGTCAAATGTGCATAGCCTAAAAGAACTACATTTATAAAGGAAATAAAATATAAGGGACAAAGTGAGATTTTTATTTGCTTATTTGTTTTTAATTTATGTCCCCTATGCAGAAAATACAGACCAGAATATTTTTTTCCTGTTTTTCAGAGTTTCAGTTATTCTAAGAAACTCTCTAAATATTGAGTAAATTCAGTAAAACAAATTACTTGAACTTATGGCTTGGGATCGTGTAGACAAAAAGATTATCTTAGTGACTAAACCTTTTGCTTTTTATAATTGGTTGATATGAAGGAGGCATGGTTGAAATTATTACCTTTGTTACATTTCAGCTCTATGTATGCAGTGCCTAAAGATTCCCTCAGTTTGGTCAATTCAGGTGTTCAGCATTTTGTATATAAAATATTTCTATCATTGACAGTGTATTTCTATGTAATTGACTGGATCTTTTCTATTTTGGAAGCATAGAAATGCCTGAATATCTTTGTAAAGGGGTATAATGTCAATAAATGTATTCAATTCAAATGTGTACTTTCCACAGGATGCAGGGATACACAGAATGTTTTATATAAATCAAGCTCCTGGTTTTATTTTCAGTGGAGTCACACTAATATCTTTTTCTTGATTCTTACAGTACAATTGGTAGGGAAACCATGTAACATAGTCCTAAAAGAAGCTCCAAGAGTTAATGGCAAAATTTTCATTATGTGTTTTATTGGACTAATCAAGCCTTAAACTATCAAATAGTCTTTGTTTCCATAAAACTCTTAAAAGTTTTCCACCATGCTAGAAGGAATGTTGGTAGTCCAAGAAACAAAAGCAACTTTCCTTTTTAAACCAATATGTGCCTTTTGTTGTTATTGGTGGTCATGGTGATGATCATGATGATATAAAAACAATCATGTGTATTATGAAAAACACAGAATATTAGGAGTAAGAAAAAAGTCATTCCTTACCCCACCTCTCAAAGACCAAAATCATTATCATTTTGTTTTATTCCTCTTCTTATGTTTTGACTGAATCATTTTTACATCATTATAGCCAAAATGTATATATAATTTTGCTTTCTGCTTTTTCACCCAAAATGTTGAAATTAATATTCCCAAAGACAAAACACAGAGTAAAAGAAAGTGATTAGGATTGAGTCAGTTTCTCTGAGCCTCAGTTTTCTCATCAACAAAATGGTGGGAAACATTACATCATTGCTGAAATCAAATGAGATGTCTGCTCCCCCTCCCACCTGTCCATTCAGCTACTCTTTCCTCTCTCCTGTGCTTCTTAGTGATCCTTGTATCCCTAGGCACCTTCCTGACCGTCCCTAAGCACTCCCCAGCCATGCCCATGTGCCCATGGAAAATGAAGACAGGCAGGCAAAGTCCATGTCTTCTCTCTTCTCCCCTGCCTCCCTCCAACTCCTGCCTCCAGGGCTATTTGCTTTTTAAAGAAAACATCATGAACAAGGAAAAACCTTTAAGACACAAAGGAAAAGAGGCATAATGTTGGCATGTGGTGAACATAAAGTCCCGTAAATTGTACAACTTAAGCAACTGCCAGCACCACCTACATCCAAGAGAATCCTTGCTCGATAATCATCCTGCTCAGGTAGCTTAATCAACAATTAACCTCACAAGGCAAATTAATGATACTAAACTCTTCAGCATTAGGCCTAAATTAGAG